CCCTTTCTGTAATACAGCCATGAAGGAAACTCTGCCTGAAGAGAGAGTACAGCCTTTGTTGGTGCTCCCTGTGAACTGTGGTGCTCTTTTGTGGCGTTCAGTAGCAATGCAGGTTGTCTACAATGTGGCCTGCAATATATACTTGAAGAAGCTCTTTGGCTTGCAGCCAGGTGATGATTCTTGACCATCTTCTGATGCCACTTCCCCTCTCTAGTCCTCTTGCAGAGAATGAAAGCCTTGCATAGACTGTGGAAGTCCAAGAGGGAAGAAAAAGAATTGCCTTTCTTAAAACTGAACAGCAAAGGAGGCCTTCCATGTGGGCCTTCACCACTTCCCTCTTTGCCATTCAGGAAGAGTTACCTAGGCCACAGGGACATGAATGATTTGAACTGTAGCTCCTAAGAAAGGGTCTAGTTCTACTGAAATATTCACTTGATGCCAAACAGCTGCTAGCACAGGCTCTGCTTTCTTCAGAGCAGGAGCCATCCTCTCTCTGACTCGGTGCTCTGCTTCTGCAGGTTCTCCTTCGCTTCCAGATCCAGAGAAATGTGATTGTGATTCCCAAGTCTGTCACTCCACAGCGCATTGTGGAGAACTCCAAGGTGAGTGTTTACAAGTGAGCAGGGTGCTGCCTTCACAGACAGCCTGGCTTCTCCTCACAGAGCAAGCAATGATCCTTTCTCACGTTTCCCAAGTCCTCCTCAGACCGGGGCCTGAGAGTTTTCTCTCTGGAACTAGGGCTACAATGAAAACTATAGTTGGAGAAAAGAAATAAGCAGAGGTTTTGGAAACACTATGCTGATAACCTTATCAGTCCCCTTACATGGTGTCTCCTGTTCTGTGAGTTGGGATTGAAGTGGTGGGCAGAGCTTGCTTGGAGTCCAAGTGCAGTAACCTTCCTCAAAATACAGAGTAAGCAATGCTGAAGAAAGAACCCTAATTTCAACAAACCACACTGCCTCTCAGACTGTTAAGTCGGGTTTTTTCCTGGTATTGGGCAGGAGTTACATAGCTGGATTTGTTGAAATATGAAGTGTTTCTTTGGAATTGGAGACAAATTCATCTTCCACAAGTAGAGGAATTCTGCAACACTAAGGGCTCTCAGGTACCTTGGAACAGCTGGCACATGTAACTGCAACTGGTGATGGTTTTGTTTCTTCCCTCTGTCAGTAGCGTCTTGAAAATGCAAAGAGACTTCCTTGCCTTGCCTCATAAAGGCATTGCTTATAACCAACACTATTTCTGATGGGAACGTGTTCTTTAATTTTCTGAATCTTGCTTCTGATTTGATTTGTTCAAAGAGGACTTCAGGCAGTTTCTCTTTAGGTGTTTGACTTCGAGTTGACTAAAGAAGAGATGGCAACTCTTCTCAGCTTAAACCGAAACTGGAGAATCTGTGAAATGATCACGTAAGTGAAAGCTTGTTTTCTTCCAACTTATTTCCAGTAACCTTTATTCTAATCTCACAGCTACTGGTATGGATAGCTGCTTAAACTGGGTAGATTTTGAAATCTGAAATGGTTAGAGGAATGAAGAATCTGTTACTTAAAGCCTTAGTGCAGTTATATTTTCAGTTGTATTGACTACAAGGATGAGTACAAGTCA